GGGGGGGGGGGGGTTGTGGGGGCAGATTATACTATTTTCAATTCTAGAGGGGCCAGGTTCCCCCCATTTGTACGTTTATGGTAAGGGAGTTGAGCCATTGAAGTCTAGGATGCCCAGACGGGAGACTCTTAGCATCCGATGACGGAAGAAAATGAAACGCAGTGACTAAAAATATCATTCTACACTAAAAATCTTGAAAATGGACCGAACTCTTTAAAGGAGTAAGAAGAATTGTAAAGTGCCTAAGTGAATTCTTGAAAATTTTTTCACATTCTGCGAAATTTTTAGGGTAAATTTTTCCGTTTTCCTTACGAGACAAGGGTTATATGTGAATTCGTAATGGTTTATCACCGGCGGCACGGGCCCCGGTATCGGGGACCCAGTATCCCCCCCACCTCCCTTGTGGCGGGCCTGAGTATGACAGGTAGTCTGGGACGTCGCAAACTGAGTTATATTACTGCCGACTTACGCCGTCGATATGTCGCACTACTGTAATGGACCTGTGGAATTTTGCTGCGAAAATGGGAGTTGTTACTCACAGGAAATGCGTCTCAAAGATAACATTGAGCGCATCGGTGAAGTCTGAAATGCACTCCTGACCTCACAATCTGCGCAAGAAATTTGCTTTTTTTGAGCCTCCCGATTCAAAAATGATATTGCAGCACAGGTGAACGTTTCATCAGAGGAGTCGTCACAGCCACCCCTTCCGTACTAGGATGCTACATTGCTACGCAATATTCAACATAGCTTTATACCCACCTATCAGGATTCATTCCATCTCAAAATAGTTAGTTAGCATTAGGTGAGATTTATCGTGCAAAATACAGACATATTGATGAAAGTACTGTGCGAGCTCATCATGTTGCAATGAACGGAGAAAATTGATTGGAAAATTCCATGCTTTTGAATGAAATGCAAGTTTTACATGCAGTGAAGCACTTGGGAGCGTCATAGTCCTATGATGAAGCCTTGCGTTTTGTGCACGGTTGCGTGGGTAATTATTACCACCAATTTAGAGGGGTAAACAAGTGTAATTAAGATGAAACAGTCACGTGCGTCATGCCACTACACAGAGGTAACCAACGGAGACAACAGCAGGTTCGACGGATAAGAGACGAGTCAACTACTGAACAATTTTTTCTGATATCGGTGACCAAACCAAAATGCGGAACCACTTACGTTCATCGTGGAGTTTCAAAATTTCCGCTCCTATTTTATTTTTTCGAGGAGAGACAAGCTAACTTAATTGCTTGGAATATCTGCAGATTATTCTGATAACAGGGAAGAAAAATCAACAAAGTTTTGAAGAAATTACGTTTACTATCGGTATATCCAAAGAAAAAGTAAAGTATGATAGGAGGTCTCCAACGTCTCAAACAGAGATACGTGGTTTCGTGCCTCGATCTAAACCTCATTATGAAGGGAGCTGCAAGGAAGCCGTTTGAATATTGCTTTTTTTTGCTGAGCTGCGACAGTGTCACGGCAAATCGAAACTGCAAATATGTTTCCCACATGTCGTTAATTGCACCTATATAAATGTAGGCCCATGTTGAAGACATCAATCTCACTCGATAGACAACAGGATCGATGAGAATGATAGTCTGAACGTTTTGCTGTAGGATCTTTAGTTCTGCAGTCCAGTTTCCGCCATGATTGCTGTCAAAATTTTGATGGTGGCAGGCCTTCTTGTCATAAGTCCAGATTTGTGCCGTAAGTTATTTTTCCATTTATTAAGCTTTGAATTTGTGATACTCAACTGAGGGGCTTGGTGTACAATTCGCTTCAGTGTAGTTCTTAAAAAGAATTGAGATTTTAATGATTTCAAGTGAACTTCCTTTTTGCCAAAAGGATCCATGTAATCTCGAAACTTTAAACACGCATTTCTCGGGATAGCAAATACTGCGCTTATAGGCTTTGTCCTCCAAGCCCCTTAATTCTAATACATCGTTCGTGTTAAAAACCTCTATTTTATTCAATCGGCACCCAGTATTTTACCGTGCCAAGGAAAAACGCCGTAAGAACCTTCAGGCGTTGCCGAATTTCCTTTGATAAAACACGAATTCCCTACTAAACTTATGAAAATTTTTCTAATTTTTTAGATAATTTTACTCGCAATTTCAACTAAAGTTCCTGAAAATTTAAAGGAAAAATACTCGTAAATGTCCTCAATAAAAAACGTTTCATCGAAGAAAATTTGGCAACTCTCGAATGTTCGTACGGCGTCCTTCCTTAGCACGGCAGCATTGATGAGCTTCAATAATCCTAACGTTTTTCCTTATGCTTACTCTGCTCTTTAATTCATTTTCAACCTTGAGTCCTTGAGTTCAGTCAAAATTCAAATTCTGACGAGCATTTTTATCATAGGTCCAGCATTTGACTACTCTAAAAGAAATCCCAACACGCTTTCCCATCAATGAGGTGTATTGATTGGATATTACGTTTGTGATGACAGAAATATTTTGCTTGCGGGGCTGAGGAAAAATTAAAAATTGTTGTCGTGGATGATGAGACGCACTTTAGATTTTTTAAAAAAAAGGGGCGGCATCAGGTGGAATCATAATAATTACATTAGAATTTGCCAAATGTTTAAGATCTACTATTGTTTTGTTGTTAAGCACTGGAAAAATGACTGAAATTCCCCTCCGAGCGAGATAATTTCCTCCTGAATAAAGAAAGCATTGCTGTAATCGAACAGTTTTCTATTTTCTTCTTGATACAAGCATCTTTTCCTCTGAATTTAGGAAAAATGTCTTTCTGGTAGTGAATTCAAGAATATTTCGCTTAAAAATCACTTTTCCCAGGAGGCGATTGAAGCATCATTCTGTCTCGAAATTTGGTGCATGGGTATGCGTAGAGTCTATATCCTTAAAAAAACTTACAAAGAGTTAAAGGGCACCTTGTCGCACTCAGTTTAACTGTAGAAAAATGAAACCTTAGAGAAAATTACGCTCTGCTCAATTGGACCGCGTTTAGCAGAAAAGAACCAAGCCACATCAGCTATTGCCAACTTTAACTAGGCAATTTCGTCACCTTCCAGGCAAAGTATCACAAGCGCCATGCGACGTTTAAAAATTTCCGCCGCCATTATGTTTTTTTACAGAGAAATTGTTCAACGAAGCTGTCCGAAAATTACACCGAATTTTCTTTGTGCTGCCGATAAAATTTAGTGAAATTTTCGAACAGATTCAACCAATAATTTCTCAGTAAAAAAATAAAATGTCGGCGGAAATTTTTAAACGTCGCATGGCGCTTGTGATACTTTGCCTGGAAGGTGACGATTTAATGTTTTACAAGAAAACGTTTGTACGGGTTCATTTGAAAGTTTAAGGGTATATTTGCCTAAAACATTCACTGAAATTTGCACGAAAATCCGCACAGCCGTTTTCAAGTAAAAAATTAAATTGCCCAGGTTAATTTGGCAATATCTGATGTGGCTTGGTTCCTTTCTGCTTAACGCGGTCAAATTCAGGTATATAGGCTTATTCTGATTAAATCCGATGAATTATGAAATAGAGCATACGTTAGTGTAGATGAAATAAAGATCTAGACATTGTAGACAATTTGATACCTGTATTGAGTATGCGATGGTTCTTGAAGAGACGTTGTCAAGGAGTTGGTGATGTTTCAATTTAAAGACCTTCCTCCTTCCATTTTAGACTTTCTGGACACCTGATACTGATGCCTTTAATAGTGGTCTAGACATGGGTCCTATGACTGATTTTGGAGAAAAAATGCGGATTTTTCGGGTTTGCGGTCGAATGCCGAAATCGGCAAAATCGGCCTTCAGACCCATGGCTAGGCCTGTATTAATTCCAAAATGGAGACCGAAACCGACCAAATCATTACGCATTTCGTATAATGTAGATACACATTCTTACGAAGCAGCCCGAGACAATGATAACAGAAGAAAAACAAGCAGTGAACTCCAACACAATGTGTTGATAAGGCGCGTCATTAACTCGCACATATCAACCCCTTTGGTTTTCATTTACAGAGATTTCAAAATAGGCAAGTAGCGCAACAAGAGAATTCATACGATCCAACACTTCAACGACGTACTTTGACGAGACTGTGTATTGTGAATGTAGAAAGCTATTCGAACGAATTTGAGTTTTTTGATCTGCCTGAAGCAAAATCTTATCAGATTCTTGAAGAAAAGTGATGCGGAATAATTTAAGCGGAGAAAGGAAAAATTCTGTCGAACTCCTAGAAAATAAAGTTGATTTAAAAGGTATTTTGGGGCTAAAATACCCAAATCACCGGTAGTATAAATCCCGTTATATTATTGAAAAGAAATTGACTCGATATAAATGCAATTGCTTTAAATATGTCTTGATTTTGTTACTTTAAACGTCTTTCCATGGAAAGAAGTTCAACCATGTCTCTGCTTTATTCATTCATGAATTGAAAGTAAGAAATCTACATCCCGAAAATCTACCGATTTGCCGTAAAATATCGTAGAAACTTGATATACCAGGTCGATGTACCCACTCGTTGAATTTACGAATCAATTTCTTGAGAGCACATATGTAAAAGTCATTATGCTATAGTCATTTTGGGTGCCTTTATTTTTCAAGAAACAATTAGGTACACGTAATTTCAATCCCGAAGAACCATCAATTTTCCGTATAAAATCGATAAAATCAAAATATGTCCACTCCCTGACGTGAAAATAAGATTCTACGTGTGAAAATGCTTATGCATCGATATGCTGAACAGAATCCATGTCTATCTCAAAATTTTTCTCAGAGGTTTGTGTTATTATCAGCTTCCCTTTAAACCCCGGTTCGATGGCCGAATCGTCTGCCCAAAAAGCAAGCCATTTTTGAAGGGTTCTATGAGAAATTCGTGATATTATCGGCTCTCAGGAAATCACCCCATGGCTAAAACTGGTGGTATAAATGTTTGAGTGCTTAAAATAATCGTATTTAAGAAACTAAGGCATTAAAGTATGGAGTCAATTTCTTTTTAATAATATAACGGGATTTACTACCGGTGATTTAGCTATTATAGCCCCAGAATACTTTTAAACCTTTACGTTCCCGAATTTCGACGGATTTTTTTTTTTTTTTTGCTTAAACGACTCAAGAGACACTGTAGTTAAAATCATAAAGAATTTTCGATTTGGATATATAAAAAATGTTTAACTCGTTGAGGCACACTGTATTGTATGGAGTACTGTTGCTTTTCGACCCTTGTCTTTGGGTCAAAATTCTTACAAGGAAGCCCCTTGCGAGAGGCGAATTTTTTGTAATTACTCCCAATTTTTTTTCCGTTATATAATGGAATTGCTTGTCAAATTCTGAGGTCAATTATATTTAATTGTAATTTTTACATTTCTCTTTTTCCCTTCATTTTATTTTTCGTCTGGCGAAGTTTCGTTGATTTCTTCGGATTTCGAATACTGTAACTTCTCTTCTATTCGGCCGATTTTTATGAATGAGACCTCTTTTACTTCGTGTTTTAACGGAGAGTAAGAAAAAAATTTCTAAGTACACGCGAAACAATATTTTTTAAAATTGGACGAATCCTAGCGTGACGGTGAAATGGTTAATCGAGCGTAAGTAATTAGGGTCCCGGCCGCCGCGCCGCGCCGCCTCGCCGTGAGCCGAGCCGGTTCGGTTATTGTTTTCGAGAACCCGACGCTGGGGTCAGGCGCGAGGGGAAGAGAGAGGTAGGTAGATTTCCATATGTGCGCATGTAGCTTCCTGTATGAGCCACGTTTAGCAAATGGTCTAATGAATCTCGAGGCTCATCACAGATTGCACTTACGGCTATCACTTACGGCCGTGGCGATCAGAGCAAGGGTACCAACTTTTGAAAATCATAACAGGGGTTTGGAGATCTGTCAAAGCAACGTTTTGAACAAAACGGAGCAGTGCAATTCTCATTCAAGGAGTGCCGAACTGGTCAGCCATCCTCGAATCAGTTCGCTTGCTTCCGCTTATATATGCATATTTTAAATCAGCGCGTCGTACTCTTAGGCTTTTTTTTAAAAAAACCAAGTAACGTAGACTCTTGGTATTCACTGCACATAAACTAATGAGCCCCAGAATGAGAAACAACTTTAAATCATAATTATTGACGGATAAATAAACTTTTTACACGCTTTGGAAAATCTCAGAAGTTCGCGGTAGTCATTTTTCGGTAAGGAACTAAGGGACTCGGTTATTGTATCAAGCAGGGGTCGAAACGATCGCAAAGGCGGTATACTACGTATACGCGCCAACACGGGGGAAAACGGAAAACAAGGCTGAACCACAACACTAAAAACCAGAGACGTTCCGAATCAATTAAAACTGAATCTTTTTCAGTCAGAAAATGCGGGTTAAAAATTAAAATATATCGGGAAAAAACCTGAGACCTACATGCCGGGGGCAGAGATCCGAGAAAAAATTGCGATATTTCGAATTTCTTCGATATTTTTTCATTTTGAGTTTATTTTCCGACCGAGAATGACTCAGTTTTGAGTCGAAACGTCTCAGGTTTATAGTGTTGTATTTTAGCCTTATTTTCCGCCCCCCTCCCCTCTCGTTTCTCTCCTGTATAATATAGACATTCAATGAGCAGAGGATAGAGAGTTGAGAAAATGGAGAGTGGGCCCAAAAACTAGGCCTTTTGATACCACTCCTGTTAAACACACAAGTTTTTCATTATATCGATCAATTTCAGAGCCCATGAAACCTCATACTTCAGTTGAAACCGGAACGAGATATCCAAGTCCACCTCCAAGTCCAGACCAACACACCCATAGACGCTCGTCATCTCCTCAAAATCAACTTCCTTCATCATCTCTAACAGGAGAGGGAACGAATCATATAACATCGAAAGGATCACACGTGGTGCATACGGATAATCACAACCTGCATAAAGGTAAAAAGAAAAAAAAGAATTTCTAAAAAACGTTCTGTTGGAGTAGTTATTTCTTACATAATCTGAGCTCAGACCAGCAAAAAATCGGATCAGTTCATAACTCTTGATAAAATAACCGAAGGGGTCTTTTGCACACTCAAAAAAAAAACTACGGCCCTGTGACCCGGTTGCTCTGGACACTGGTGATCCCGGCGTTAACGCGCTGTGCGCCAGCTAGTACTGGACCCAGCGGCCGGTGTCCCGTGGACCCCGCGCGGCCTTCATGGCCGTAAGACCGGTTAGGAGCCGAGCGTAAGTTACGAGTTTCAGGATCGGAGCCAACCGCTTCCACGGCCGTTGGCAGTGAGGTGAGATTCAGTTTTCGGAAAATGGCGTCACCATCAGATTAAAATTGAGACGGCTACGTGTATATTCGCAGAAAATTATAATATTTTACGTCAATGTTATTCAGTGCGTG